ACACTAGGGCTTCATCACTCCTTGGACGAATAACTATCCAAGCTGCACTGCTTATCTTCTAGACATGAAAGAGCTTATTTTATGTGTGGGCTCAATAACCAATTTACATGCCACAGACAGAGTAGATTTTGTTTGTAGTAAGGCACTTGCATATAAAGAAATACTATGATTCCCTATACCACATACACTCTTATAGTCCACTGTTCCAGCATTGAATAACACTCCTATTTAATATCAGTCCACTGGTCGCACAGGCAAAACTGATCAATAATTCCTGCAGTACGTCCATCCCAAGATATCAATACCATAACTGAAGTCGAAGGTGATTACTTTCAATTTGTTAGCAACATCGCCTAGATAGAGCAGAAAATCTGTCTTTTCACTCACATGTAAACTATTGCCATTTGTTAGTTCTCAGATATTGGTGGCTTTACTTGAAGGGCCTATTATACCAACAGAAAAACCACTGTGCTGGTCATTCCTGTATCAATCAGTCATCAATCTCTCATCTTTACCCTAGAGATACGTACCAAGTTCCACACAGCCCCTACACAGTTGAGCTGGCCACCCGACCTTCTTGTGCAAGCTTTCTGCAATAATACCCAAAGTCTGTGACCAGGTCCAACTAGGGCTTTGGTAGTTTTTCAGAATTATAGTGGCAGCATTTACTGACTGCTTTTGGTTCTCCTGACCATACTGAACCGTTGGCCAAACATACAATAGGTCAACTTGCTATTCAACAAGCAACAGAGGCATAAACAAAACAAAAAGACATACAAATAAAACTGGGGTACAAGTTACATTGTGGAAAGAGTAAAATATACCTTTCTAAGGGGCTATAGAAGTAGGACACACATAACCCCTATTCACAAGCCTGACATGAGGTATTAAATTAGGACTAAAAATGCAGCAAATATCAGTGTTAAGCCCAACAACGTTCCACTTCTAAAATTATCATTCATCATCTACAATCAGTTCTGATCAAGTAGTTGATTAGTCCTTAAGCAAAAATAAAACAAGAAGTTATAACTAAAACAATAAATTAATTAATACAGCAGGTACAATAAAAACGTATCTCTGAACATGATAAGTATAATTTGATTCTCTTAGAAACAAAAAAAAAGGTACACCCACAACTTCATTACAGGAAACATTGGTTTTATTGATTTATTTGTAACTAAGCACAAAGCTACACAATGGGCTATCTGTGCCCTGCCCACCATGGGTATCGAGACCCGGTTTCTAGCGTTTTAAGTCCGCAGATATTCCGCTGTGCCACAAGAGAAATTATAATATAAAAGAGACCTTCTACGATCTAACCAATAACATATTCAGCCAATCTAACACAGAAGGCAGTATTCAGATAAATAATTTTTATTAGTCCTAACAGGGGAGTAGATGGCACACCATCCTGTATATTAAGAAGACCAAGGGTCAAATCCCAGCCACTAACACTCTACAAAGTCCTCCTTGGGACTTATCTGAAGATGGCAGAAGACTAGCAGCCGAAACTTAAGATAAAACTAATTTGCAATCAATTAGAATAATTTATTAACTGATTAATAATTAGGCTTAGGTGATCGTAAAGGCTATAACTACGACTGCTATAAAACACAGAAAAGGTAATTCAAACCGCAGCTTCATTGTGTGTTGTTTTTTTTTTAATTTATAGGTGATAAGATTCTACAAAGTCAGTTCTTTGTTTATTTTTCCAGTTTGGCACAAATATACAGGATGTCTGGAAAGTCTGGAACCATAGGCACTTCAACGAATTTTACAGGATGTGTTTTACACGATGTCCTTGTAATTCGAAACAAATTTGGATCAACAGCAGGATTAACTAGACCTTCTCGTGCTTTGACAGCTCCATAAACAGTCACGTATCCGAAATTAAGAAAAGCTGCAAAACACCCATGTTTCCAGACAACCACACCCTGTATCCTTTGTTCTCATGACCTTGAATTTCGTAGTGTTTGTGTGCATGTTTATGGTTGTTGACTTTGACAATGACTATACAGATCTCCATACACATGATGATAATGATGATGGAGATTAATGTATGAAACAGATTCAAGTTCATTTGTTTGCCAATAGTATTTTGAATACGTGTGCTTCCTTATCACGTATACGTGTGGTATAACTACCTTCAAGTAAATGTAAAACCACTAATAACACGAACTCGTGCTACATCTGTCATACATCGCGTAAGAAAATACATCATCTTGAAAATGAGTAAGGTAGACGTAACACGTGCATTAGCAATGACTGTGTAGTCTTGATTCAGATTCGTTGTATAACGGTTCGCATATCGCTTTTCTATGAACTTAGAACGCTAAAATCCCGGGTTCGATTCCCCGCGGTGAACACAGTGGAAAGCTTAATGTGGCTTTGCTCTGAAATAAATAAACAATAGTGCTATATTTGTCTCCTTCCTTCCCGTAAATCTGAATAATTATAACGCTAAAAATCGATAATCTTGGTGGTCACAGCACAGTTAGCACACTGTGTAGCTTTGTGCTTAACTACAAATAAACGCATATCGCTAGTCCTCGAAGAGCACCACCAATCTTTGACTTACCCAACTTCATGAGAAAGTTATATATAACACACAGTAGTCTATTTAAAACAACCTGTTTTATATCGGTTTTACGTTTCAATAGGAGCTGTAGATAGTTAATGGTAGGCGTAGATGTGGAGCATTGAGGTCTTGAGCACCCACATCTGCTTTTCATAACCACTTCAGTTCCAATTTCATTTCACGCTTTGGGTGTCCTCCGGCGGTAAGTCTAGGAACTTACAATGCTAAAATCCGGAGTTCGATTCCTCGCACTGGGCAGAGCACAGATAGCTCAATGTGGCTTTGCTTTAAAACAAACGCTTGAGGCTTGCAAAAAAAAAAAAGAAAGACTAAATATGATATACTTTGTACCTCACTAATGTGTGGGCTATATTTGCAAGTACTTACTAGGGTATAGTACCTTGCACCCTAGTTTTATTTGTCTGCTTTAACTACTTTTTTCGAAAACATTACTTAAAAATTAAAAAGTACGTAAATTTTAAAAATCATACAAGAGAGGAACTTTAAGTTCAGATTCTTCAGTCTATATATATTACTTATCCTTCCCTAGACGTAATAACCAGAGTATTGATATTTTCTCTAAAACAACTATATATTCAACCAACCTTATTACCAAGTGAACAACTTTACAAAGACATGGTTACAACTTACCCGAGCTAATAATTTTAGTGCCGGAATTACGCAAATTAAGCATGCCGCTCACCCCCCACCCCCTCGAACATTTTTTTTGCAAGAGACACCGAGTCTGAGTGTGATAACCCGAACGTGTCCCAGCAGACGAAGAGAAGCGAAGCAGGTTTTTCGCGCCACGCGAGTTCTAATACATGTAAAGTATATCGTACTGTTTGCCCTCCAAGTGCTAATAAACTGTTGATGAGAGCAAACAATATTCCCAACAACTACAAACGAGATCCACTAGGATAACTCATTGTTCAGTTTGCGCAAGTTTTATGTCCAATAATTATCTGCGTAACCATTCCCAGTTAGTGGCAATTTCCGGGTCGCGGGTTCGAATCCCCGTAATCGAACATGCTCGCCCCTTTTAGCCATGGGGGCGTTATAACGTGACAGTCAATCCCACTATTCATTGGCAAAAGAGTAGCCCAAGAGTTGGCTGTGGGTGGTGTTGACTAGCTGCCTTCCCTCTAGTCTATCACCTCGTGTAGCTTTGCGAGAAATTCAAGGCAAATTAAATCCAGTACTCAGTTTCACGAAAATAAAAACGCGTATAGTGAGTACATTAGAATGTGAGGCATTAAGTATAAAAAACCTTCACTGTCCTAGAATACTAGTTTCATGATGACAGGTATGTTATAGGATTTTGTTACATATCTGCTGATCACATTATTCCAAAAATCAAGATGTTAGTTTGATTTGTTTTGAATTTCGCGCAAAGTT